GCGTCATTTTACCATTGATAGACTTAAGATTTAGCTTATTGTTAAACCTTATCTATGAAGCAATGGATTGGTTAGACCCACAACTTTAGACTGAAGTTAATATGTATGGTGATGTCAACATATCTTTACTGTTTACGAATTTGAAATTTCTTTAGAAGCTGCAAAATTGGACTTTAAACTGGTTAGTTCCGAATGGAAAGCGGCTAAAATAAAAATAAACGCAGATTGTAATGGAGTCACAGCTTCACAACTATGGCAGAAAATGTTTTATTGTCATAAAATAGAGTACCAAAACCTACCTCTTTTAGTTAAACTTGTTATGTGCATATGGGGTGTCCTGAAAAAAGATGTAAAATCTGAGTTTTACTGTTTTAATGTTAAGCTGACTTAACATTACTAGAAAACACAATTTTTTTACATTTTAGAAAATTAAAACAAAACAATTAAATGCATATAAATCATTTCCAATTGTTTTCTACTGTTTAACTTGATAGTTTATATTTATAAATATGAAAATACAAAAAAAAAAAAAAAACATGAAAATTAATATTAATTAGCAAGTTTAAGATTTTATTGTGGTGAAAGATTTCTCAAAAAATACAACTTTTTGAGCATTTCCCAAGCTCCTTTTTGGTCATACTTTTAATCAAGTTTTTTCTAGACTTTTTATCTACAAAAAGTACATTTTGAAGGTGATCTTCATCTCTAGTAACTGAAATAAAATCTTTAATGAGCTTAATGTTTCTTTCTGCACCATAATTTACAACAGATATGTTTTTGATCCATGCAATAAAATCAAGCAACTGAAGTTGTTAAAAAACATCTATGGTGTTGAGGCTGTTGTTGAGCCATTCTTTTATGCTTGCTCTTGATGTTTTGAAATATTTGAGGAGAAGGTAGCTTTGCTCGGAAATCAGCTCAGGTATTTCTGTGGTTTCTCCAATTTGTACATTTGATGGTTTACAACGCTGAAATTCATTTAGCTCTTCAAACTCAATCAGAGCTAACAGCATTCTTAGCTTTGTTTCAGAAGGAACTTCTTTATCCCTAAAGGACAAAACACAGAGTTGTGGAGTTAAGTACCACATATGGCATTCCATGCTGAGAAGCAAAGTATTTCTAATATTCTTATTTTCTCAATGCATAGGCTGTCTGGATAGCTTTCAAATCATTGTAGGGAGCCAGAAATCTTAAAAAAACTTTTCAAAAACCATGGAACATAGCAAATTGCAATGAACAAACTTGCATCCTTCAACTGCAGCACTTCTTTTTCTGTCAAGATATTACTGATATCTTTGGTCATATAAAGAGTCAGGATGTAGATCGCATCTGCTAACAACCTTGCCTCATGGCAGGCGCCAGGTTGATAGAACTTAAAATCTTGTACTTTTGCTCCAAGGAAGGAGGCAAGCTTACAAACTATACCATAACCATTCCTTAAAAACACTACAGCAGTAGTTGCATTAGTCAAAAATATCTTAGCTTTCTCTGCAACAGTGCGAAGAACAGAGCCAATCCTCAGATCATTTCTTTTCCAGTCCAATTTGCCTAAATTTTTCACTTCATTAACTTTCTCACAGATTTCAGGCCACTTGTTCTTTAGCTTGACATAAAGAGCTATTCTTGGACCTTTAGTTTTCTCACCAGTAAGAGCAGCGATATAGTGAGATACATGTATTTCATATGTGTCTCTTACATATTATCCACAAAATTGGTATTTTCAAAATATCTGTAAGAATTCGGACTGCTCCATTGACTTCGCCTGTATTGCTTGCAGTTGTATCACAGCATAAACCAATGATCTGTTCTTTACATCCGTAATATTCTAAAAGATTGTGCACTTGTTCTGTTTGGTCAACTCCCTTTGAAGTGGAACATTGAACAACACCTAAAAGATGGTCTTCCATGGTATCGTCATCCGGGGAACTCACTGAGACTGCATGTTGCTTGATTTTTTGAATTATGTTAAGCCCAGTGGTAATTTGTTCCAACAGTTTGGTATCAAAATGAAGAATAAGCTGTCGGCCTTTAAGATGATTAGTTATTGAAAAACACTCCAAGTCTCCTTCAAGTTCTACATATTTGAACTTTTTTCTATGAAGTGTGCTTCATGAAAGCGGTATATCATTAATTTCTATACCTCCAGCATTAAATACTTCACTTAAAATTGCAAGATGAGGTCGTACACCAACATTGAACCTTGTTGCTGGAATACCAGTACATTCGATGAGCTTTTCAACATTCACTGCTAGATTTGATTACTGTGAATTATCCTCTCTTATAACTTAAATATTTTTCACTGAAAAATATTTAAGTTGTAAGAAATATTTTTCACAGTGAATTGATATCATTTTATAATACTTTTCTACTTATTTGTAATTATATACTTTTCAATAAAATAGTTTTAGCTTCTGAAAATTACAACTATGGTATTAAAATAATACTTTACCTCAGGCCTTATTTTAAATAACAAGCTTAATGTGAATTTAACGTCATAAAATTCTCTTTATTTTTTAATTCTTTTTATTTTTTGAAGACATTAACTTTTTCAAATTACTGCAATAATATTAAGATTACCACAAAGCGAGTTAAATACTGTTAAACTTGTTTCTTTCATTTGTTTTAATATTGAATAATTAAACTTGATATTAAATTAAAAAAAAAAATTTCATGTAAAAAATTTATTTTCCTTAAAGGGACTACCAAGTCCCGAGACATTAATATTATAACTTATTAATAAATGTATACCAAGAAAAACTTATTAACTAAGTCCTGAGACATATTGTGATCATATTAAAGAGAATGTTAAAAAAAGTGTCTGAGCAAATTTTTTTTAATTAAAACTTATTAATAAATGTATACCAAGAAAAACAAATCTTGTTGTTTTAGTTGAAGCTCGTCTTCTCCGTTTTCTGTGGTATTTTGAGTATGTAAAATAAACACGATTTTCTAGGCGCATTATACAGACTTGATAATTTATTCAAGCGCGTTTAATTCATAGGAGGTTTAGTGCATGATGTCATAGTTTTTTTTTTTTGTTTACAACACCAATTGTTATTTTTTACATACAATATCCAAATCATATTCATTTTTATTATATTTTATTGTTCTAAAATGTGTTTGTAAAACAAAATTAAAAACAAAATAAAATTAAAAACAAAATAAAATTAAAAACAGAAATAAAATAAAAAACAAAATAGTATTTTATTTGCGCAACTTTTTTTAAATAATCGTTTCGACCATATGTATTTTGATTTCTTTTGTTATAAGTTTTTCTTTCAAAATATTAGATAAAATAATTTTTAACCTAAATAATAATGCACTTTTATTAGTTTACTTTGTAAATATTAAAAAAAAATTTCTAATGCATTTTTTCTCTGATTTTCAAAAATGTATTTTTTGGTATTGAGGTGATCTTATTTCATTATTTATATTTCCATTATAACATCCAATATATATTATGGCAGGGGCTTAAAAATTAAAAAATTAATAAATATTTATAAAATTAAGACTCTTCCTTCCTGCTTAGACTCTTCTACAGCTTGCGGCCTGGACAACATACCCGTTATTGTCTTGCAGAAATGTTCTCTGGAGCTGTCATCTATCCTTTCAAAACTATTTAACAAGTGGTTATCAAAGTCTTGTTTTCCAGCCTGCTGGAAAGCAGCATCTGTTATCCCTATTTTTAAAAATTCTGGAGAGCGATCCGATTCGTCTAACTACCGTCCCATTAGTCTTATTCCTTTCATAAGCAAGGTTTTTGAATCTTTAATTAACAAACAATCTCTGATCTCGAATCTCATAACCTACTTTCTGATCATCAATATGGATTTCAATTTTCTCGTTCTACAGCTGATTTGCTATCAGTAATAACCGATAGGTTTTATCACGCATTAGATAAAGGTGGAGAGGTTAAGGTCATTGCTCTTGACATTTCTAAAGTGTTTGATAAAGTTTGGCATGCTGGTCTTTTCCATAAGTTTTCTTCTTACGGTGTATCTGTACGGTGTAAAAGTTCTCCTCGATTGACAGCACTCTTCTTCTTATTCTGTAACCTTAGGGGTTCCTCAAGGTTCAATCCTTGGCCCTATACTCTTTTTAATTTACATTAACGATAACGAAAGGTGGCATTGTTCGCTGATGATTCTACCATTTATTCTTGTCACGATAAGAAGCCAACTCTTTCTGATTAGTTGCAGGGGGCATCTGAGCTTTAAAAGGATCTCACTTCTGCTACAGCATGGGGCTCACAGTGGCTGATGAACTTTAGTTCAGATAAAACTTAATTTTTTTTAGCCAATCGTTATCGCAATAATTTAGACCTTCCTATTTTTATGAACGGTAATGTACTCAATGAGTCTCCTACCCTTCATCTTCTAGGATTAACTCTTACTTCTGATCTTTCTTGGAAACCTTATATCGAATCTGTTGCAAAATTAGCATTTGCTAAAGTTGCTTCTCTTTATCGAGCTTGACACTTTCTTACTCTTGATTCTATTTTCTATCTCTATAAATCTTAAATCCGGCTTTGTATGGAATACTGTTGCCATATCTGGGGCAGATCTTTTAATGATGCCCTTTCTCTTTTAGACAAGGTGCAAAAACGCATTGTAAATATAGTTTGACCTGCTCTTGCAGCCAACCTTCAACCTCTGTCACATTGTCGCAATGTTGCTTCTCTTTTTCTTTTCTACAAATACTATAATGGGCACTGCTCTAAAGAGCTAGTGTCTCTTGTGCCATCTACTAAAATTCATTCTTGTGTTACTCGTGAAAAGCAAATTAAAAGAATTTAATGACGTCAAAAATCATGTCGTGCTTATGCGTCGTGCAGTTTTTATTCATCACAAGGCCTGATATATATATATGTATATATATATATATATATATATATATATATATATATATATATATATATATATATATATATTTATATATATATATATATATATATATATATATATATTTATATTTATATAAACATGTTTCTTTTTTTGTAGAAACATCAAAATGGGACAAAATAATACACATCTAAAGAATCATGAAAACATTCTTTATAGCCAAGAATTTAAGTTAAATTTTAGTGAAAGTGTTGGAGTAGATTGGAAAACACTGGGTCGTAGATTAAACATTGAAGACAATTATTTAGAGATGATTGATCATGATGAATCCAAAACCCCTGAGAAAGCATATTCAATGTTAACTACTTGGATGCGAATGAATGATAATCCATCACTTAAGGAGTTAAAAACAGCTTTAAGAAAAATGAGGAGAATGGATCTAATTAGAAAAATTGATAAATTTACAAGTAATTAATTTTTAATTTATAATAATTAACAAACTAATTAATAGTATTTTATTTTGTGGAGTTGAAATTTTATTATAAAAAATTCTTATTCAATATTAGAAACTATAATATTGTATCCAATGCTTTGTTTCGTGACAGTCAGATTTCAAACTCTATTCGAATAAGACTTTAACAAGATACCTAAGGTATTTATGTTTCTAGTAATGAACTTGACATGTAGTAATGAACTTGACATGTAGTAATGAACTTGACATGTAGTAATGAACTTGACATGTAGTAATAAACTTGACATGTAGTAATGAACTTGACATGTAGTAATGAACTTGACATGTAGTAATGAACTTGACATGTAGTAATGAACTTGACATGTAGTAATGAACTTGACATGTAGTAATGAACTTGACATGTAGTAATGAACTTGACATGTAGTAATGAACTTAGTATTTGTGAAATAAAATAGCTACTAAAAGCAATAAGCATGTTATTATGAATGTTATTATTATGATTGATCCCCCATATAAAAATACACTAACTAGTTTAACTAGTGGATTAATTATCTAACTTCAAAATATATGATAAACTTTACAATAAGTCTGGATTAAAATTGCTTGGCTGGAAATTAACTATTTGTATAGATTTATTTTGAAATTTATCAGGTTTTTAATTTGGCATGTGTTTTATCTCTAAACTTGCAACTTCTAAACTTCTAAACTTGCAACCATATAATAGGTAATGTAGGTAACCATATAATAGGTAATATAGGTAACCATATAATAAAATGTAGGCTATATGCTTACATTTTATTTTGACTGATTATTCTTAAATAAAATTATTTTTTTTCTAATTTTGTCATTTTGAGATTTAAAAATTATTCTTTCATACTTTTAGGTATTTAAAGAAATTTTATTTGATCTAAGTCATTGAACCACACAAGGCTTCTTAGTTTAGGATTTTTATGAGATATATTCAGTAAGATAATTTATATCATCAGCGAAATGATGATATAAATTTTACATTTATGTAAGTCTTTATATAAGATAACCTTTTAAGAATTTGTGGCAAAAAAAGCTATAAGAAACTACAGAAAATAAAACAGCAATACTAGAAAAAAGGTACTGAATATTATACAATATAGAAAATCTAAATATAATAAACTAAAAAACGAAAAATTTTGTCAAAAAAAAAGTATACAAATGTTATACTGTTTTTTTTTTTCTTTTTTTATATGGTACTGTTGTTAAAAAATGAAATATTGCTTGATGTCGTAACTCAGAAAAAATTATTTTGGGGTATGTTTTAGTCATATAGGTTATAAGTCCCTAAATCTGGTTACACAATCCATGGAAGAAAATCCATTTTTAAAATTTTGCATAAAATCCCATTAAATACATTGCTGATAAGTAACTGACAATGTTGGTTTTAAGAATTTTTATTCATTCAAAAAACATAACAAAAATATTTATACAGTAAATTCACTGGTAAATAACAATTTATTATCAATTTGTAATCAATTTATAATAAATAATTCTTACAAAGTAAAGTTTCAATTCTAATTGTTTTTTTGTCTTGGGAAAAACGTCTTAACTGATTTGTAATGTTCCTACTAAATTTTTTTGTGGTTGAAGTCTGTGATGAAACTTTGCAGCCTGTCTTCATATTTTGGGTCATATTTTGGTTTATATAAATATATATATATATATATATATATATATATATATATATATATATATATATATATATATATATATATATATATATATATATATATATATATATATATATATATATATAAATTGTAAATTAGTAGTAAAAAAATATATATGTAAATTAGTAGAAAATCACCTAACAAAAATTTTTTTTATTTTACACTGTGTTTCATCAATAAAGACTCATCAAAAAAAATTTATTTTAAGGCATGGACTAAAACCACCATCAAAACACTATTGCCAATATGAACTTAAAACCATATATAAATGCTCTGAAGTAAAAGATATTGTCCTTTACCTTTTTAGTGCTCATTTTTATGATGCTTTAAAAAAATGTGACCAAGATAAATTTATATTAAAGTTTTTGTCTGTTCAAAAAAAACAAAGATATAGAAAAAAAAGAGCAATTTTATACTAAAAAAATTAGGAACAGGTCTAAATGTGAAAATAGTTATTTTATTGAAAAAGAAAACAGACAAATAGTGCATGTTTGCAAAGACACTTTTTTAACATGCTTACATGTTGGTAAAACTCGTGTTCAAACATTGCAAAACATTTCTTTACGCATGGTAATCCTAGAAAAGAAAACAGAGGTGGTGATAAAAAAAGCCATAAATTCAAGGATGAGCGAAAGGCTGTGATAGAATTTATAAAGAGTCTTCCTGGAAAGGAAAGTCATTATAGCAAAAGGAAATCTATAAAGCTTTATCTACCATCAGAGCTTAAAAGTATTAAAACAGTATGGAAATTATATGCAGAAGGGGAACCCAATCTACCAGTGACATGAAATTTTCAGAAAAAAATTTATGCTTAACTTTAATTTAGGGTTTGGTTCTCCTAAATCAGATGCATGTTTATTTTGTGAAAGAATTCGAAACCAAATGCAGATTGAAAATGACTCAGAAAAGAAGAACAGTTTAATTACTGATTTAGTTGTTTATAAGCATAGAGCAAATTGTTTATAAACATAGAGCAAATGCATTCTATGATCTTTTAAAAGAAAATAAAGATAGTTTAAAAATTATTTGCTTTGACCATCAACAAAACCAAGTCATCCCTAAAGTTCCAGATCAGCAAGCTTATTATAGTAGACAACTATACATATACATCTTTTATGATATAGAAAATAAAAATAACAGATCTTTAAATCAAGATAATGTCACTATCTATACTTGGAATGAAAGCGATTTCAAAAAAGAATAGTTCTTCTTTTTCCAGTGCAGTATTTGACAAGCTCTGCAATACAAACATGGATGGCATAGACACTGTTCATTTAGTTTCTGATGCATGTGGTGGTCAAAATAAAAATGATGCTTTAATTTATATGGTTGGCTTCTGGCTGTTAAGACATGCACCGATATTAGTAAACTATTGATATTGATATTGCTAGATATTGCTGCATGTCTTAACAATATATATTCTCCAGAAGAGTGCTATAATGTTTACAGTAACCAGGGAACAGTGAAAACTGCAGGGAAAGACTGGAAGGTGTTGGATTTCAAATCAGTACCTTTAAGAGTTTTTAAAAAACCATTGCCAATCAAAATTCAGGAAAATAAATGCTTTTTTATCACAAGAAGATCGCCTAAAAATATTAAAGTCCAAGAAGAACCAAATATTAAGTTTTTTCTTAACAGTCCTCGAATTATAACAAAAAGAGGCCATGATTGTTTATCTTGTCCATCTCAGATCCAGAAAGGAGTCCCAGTTGCAGAGGTTAAAAAGAAAAATATCAAAAGTTTGATTCTTGTGCATGCAAGAGTAAATTGGGAGCAAGATAATCGTTTTAATTTTTTAAATTGTTTTGTTAAAGAGTCCCAGTTGCAGAGGCTAAAAAGAAAGATATCAAAAGTTTGATTCTTGTGCATGCAGGAGTGATTTGGGATCAAGATAATCATTTTAATTTTTTAAAAAGTATTGTTAATGATTCTTTATAATAAAAAAACGTGTAGAAGACGAGGAAGATACTAAATGCAGCTGTATTGATGAAGATGCTGTATGCAGACATATTTAACTTTTTGATGTATTTATTCTTTTTAAATTTTTGTTGTGTTAAAGATCAATTTCTTAATAAAAAACTAGGTTTTTATTGTAGTCTTTTCTTAATTCCCTATGTTTTAAATTTCCTTTTCAATACCTTTTTTATAATATAATTATAAAGAAGTTTATAGTTCGTGTAGATTTAATCCTTCAAAACATTTTAATTAGTTTTAATAAGCAAATGATCCATCTGAATTCAACCAAACATTTTCAAAAAAATCTAAGTGCATCTGAAATATTCAAATTAAGCTAAATCCGAATTTCAACAAAGTTTATTTTGAGATTCTAAAGAGTTGCATTTTTTTTTTGTGCATGTTATTTAATTGTCTCTACTTGATAGTGTAAAATTTTTTAAATTACGTAAATTTAAATTAGTGTAAATTTAACAAACACAATTTTTTTGGAGCGCTAATTAAGCCTGGGCACGATTTCCTTTGATTTCTCAAAATCAAATTACTCGGACTTATGGCGTTTTGCAAATGGGTTCCTCAATTGTTAAAAAAAAAACGATATATAAGCATTTAGTTCTGTTTTTACTTTTTTAGAACTTTTAGTTTCATATTTCTTATTTTCTCAGTACTTATTTCATAGATTTCATATCTATATTGTTAAAAACCACTTATTTAAGTAATATTAATTATTTTTAGCAAAAAGTTTAAAAGAAATTAACTTTGTTGAACAATAAAAGTTTTATAACTTTTGTAGCATTTCCACACAAAATATTGTTAAGAAAAAATTTTTTTTGCATTTGAATTCGATTCAGTTTGTTAATAAAATGTCATTTAATGTTATTTAAATAAAAATTTTTTTTGTCAGTTAATACTATTGCTAGTAATAAAAGATTAGCTAACAAGAACTATACATTGTTTTTTTATTTGTTCTTTTATCCCGTTTTTGTGTTCCTTTGCTCAAAAACCATGGTTTTTTAATGAAATTAAAAAGTTTATAATAAAATTGAATCATTTAGAAACTTTGAGTTCACCAGAAAGTTCTTCCAGAACTTCTTCTAAGAAAGGTAATTATAATGTTTGATTTATTTAAAATTACTCAACATTTACTTCTGAAATGTTTTGTGCCACAAAACATTTTAAATGTCAAGTACTTCGTTACAGTGTTGTACAAATAATATTTATTAATTTTTTTTTTATGCTAAATGTTTTTCTCATGTCTTTTTGAATTAAATATTTTTTTTTTGTACTTTTAACTACAAAATTTAAAATCCTAAAAATGTAACATTTTTTATGATATATATATTTTTATGTTATCCTTTTTTTAGTTAGATATTAACTTTTTTTTTATTATGCCCTACATGCTTAGTTTTGCTGCTTGTTTTATTTTTGTTACAAATCAATAATTCTCTTTATGTCTTTAAATAAAGAAAATGCTTTAAAAGCTAGTTTAAAAGCTAGTTAAAAAATAGTTTCCTTTTTGATTTACGTTCATTACAATTTTTCAAAAAAATAATCTTTGAGAATTCCTTTTTCTGACAAGAAAATGTTCTCAATAAAATATATAACTGTCAAAAGAATCTAGTCTCCAGATCATGTTGATGCTAATAAATATCATGGTATTAAATTATGGTTGGAAGTTTGTTCAGAAGACATGTTTTTAATTTTATTAAATAATTACACAGTAAATCATCACAATACATTGATGAAGTTCTAGATTACAGAAAATAACTTATTTAGAGATGATTGGATGTTTTAGTAAGGTGGTTATCAAACCTCATACTCAAATACCACATAAACTTTCTCCAAAATTGTGTAACAATCGTTTTTTAGATTATTTGACAAAAATTATTGCCCAACAAATTCTCCCGACCCTTTATAAACTACTTTAAGACTAATTTGTTCACCGAATGGAGCAACTGGAGCAAAAAGTCAAAAAAAATTTAAGGGCAGAGTTAAAGCTAGCTGTGAAACTAATTGGATCTAATTGGGAAAGAAGTTGCACTGGAAACTTGTAATAAAAAACATCAGAGATTTTTGACATTAATAAACTAACTTTTAAAAGTAATTTTTTGAGAAAAAATTTAAATGGATAGAATGAAAAACTTACTGGATTGAAAGCAAAAAAAAAAATGTTTGGTTCTTTATGTGCAACAAATTATGGGCATTTATACAAGTTAGTTTAGTTTGGTTACTTGTTCTATCATTGTTACTGATCATTAATTTTGTTTTATGTGTCAGTAGCTCATGTAAGTTTATATCATTGTTTGCAATATTTTAAATATTCCCAACTAATATTGTTTGAATAACACAATTTTGTTATATTCATATATCAAATGTCACATTAATTGATTTTTTTTAGAAATTTAACTTAATGATAATAAAAAAAATTGAATTAGTTATTTCAATTTTTTTTAAATTGAGTTTTTTACTTCATTTTTTAGTTTATATTGATGAACTATTCTTTTAAGAGGGGGGTTGTATCAATAGTGCTTAAAAATTTAAATTTTAAAAAATTATGTAGTGAATTTGTTTAAAAATAAATATAAATATTAGAAGAAAATACTGACTTTGCACACAAAGAGCATAACAGTAGATGTTCTTGGTTTTTATAGTATTAGAGAAAGTTTCAGGATTTATAGCATGTACAGTTGCATGAAATGTATAAGAATTATCTATAAATTTTATCGATTTCACAGTTTAAAACTTGTGTTTAGGTCTTTTTGTTAAGTTTTTTAAAATTTTATTTTAAAAACCTTCACAAAATAACTTAAAAAAGATCTTAGCCATTGAACTAAACATGCAAGATCATGTTCAGGATTCTTATTGAGTTTTTTGAGCATTTTTTACATACAATAATTAACATCATTAGCAAAATGATGTTTTAGAAAGTTTTACACATATGCAAGCCTTCCTGGGAAGCGTGCGCAGTCTCATGCTTTGTTTGTCCACGTTTAAAGTAATTTTTTAAACAATTTGATGTTTTTATATAATAAGCTTTTTAAGAATTTGGAAAAAATTAAAAAAAAAACCTAAAAAAAGCAGATAAGAATATAACAAAAATAAAAACATTCTTTGATATACACTTTATTTGTGGCTTTTGTTAGTCAGCATATTATTTTTACTAGAAATATGGACAAATTTAAAGTTTTTTTCAAAAATGTTTTTGCTAAATTTTACTGTTTTTATCAATAAAAGCAGGAAATCAAGAAAACTAAATGCTATTTATTTGTAAAAAATATTTTTTTAATTTTTTAACAAGTTTATCATGTAAAAAAAAAAGTCATTAATTCTAATATTCAAATATAAAATATTTGCTTGTTTTCACTAACCCCATTGAAATAGTCTGCACTTTTGTTGGACTCTCTAAATTGTGCATTTAAACCCAATAGTTTTTTTCCTGATGAACTATTGTTATTAGCGATGCTCCATGCTCCTAAACAAACAATCATGTTCATTATCTTTTTGTATTTTGTAAAACAATTTCAGACAGGCATCAAATGTGGTAAATACATTTATCAAAAAAACCATGCAATTCTTTTATTTAATTTTTTTAATTACAAAATTTATTATTCAAATAATAAAATTAAAAATAAATAGTAAACAAATAAATTTATTTTCTTATTTTCATAATACATAAGTATTGAGAAAAAATGTCAAATATAGCAAAGTCATTTTTAAAAGCCAAAAGATATATAAACGCAAAAAAGAAAAATTAACAAAATTTCTCATAGTTCCAGCGTACATAGCAAATTAATTTCTTAATTATATGGGCGGATAAAAATCATGAATAAGTTGCTTATCAAAATTTTAAATTGTTATTAAATTGTTATAAAATGTTTCTTTCCTCAACTTGTATAAGTTTCTTTTGCTAAAAATAACAACCACCCTAAAAAAAAAGAATACAAAAGGTGTATAAAAATTTAGAGAAAAATGTTTTTTAAATTTTTTTATTTCAAATTTCTAAATATTTCTAGAGTATTTAATTTAAATTTAATATTTTGTTACGAATTTGTTTACTTCTTTATGGCTGTTTTTTTTACTCAGTAAATAAGTTTAGCTTTTTAATGCGAATTATTAAATGCTAAAATATTAAATGACTAAAAAGTTAAAAGATGCAAACTGCCGTGGTCAATGTGTCTAAAAAAATTACTTCAAACGTGGACAAACAAGTTGTGCAACCACAGGCACTTCCCGGGAAGGCTTGCTTTCCCAGGAAGGCTCTTCTTGTTTAAGAAGAGCCTTCTACACCACTACGCGTTCAATATATTCAATACTGAAGTTCAAGAAAGCAAAGACGCTAAAAATTAAGGAATGCAAATGCTGGTCTGCAAAACTGGTTAATGCCTAAATGGACATTGAATTGCAAAACATTACTTTAGCAAATCCATTTTATTTAATATAAAAAAGGCATTATTGAAACCTGTCTAAATCACACAAGTGTGGAAACATTTAAAAAAATCCTCTATTCAAAATTTTATAGTTTTGCAAAAAAAAAAAACTATGAATTAAATGCTATATCTTTTCTCAAATCCTCTTTATCTAATGAAATTTTGTCTGTTGTTATTTTGTTTTAAATGAGTCTCAAATATTGGAATCATTTTTGGTTTGTTTTTCATAAAGGCTAACAGACATCTAAGGTCATCAATAAAGAATGTTGATATACTTATATAAGCAAGACTTGAAGCATTCTTATTTATTGTATTATTGTATTTAGTTGAGAATTTATTTGCACCATTTATGCTTGAGTTCATTATAAGAAAGATTTAAATATGGCAAAAGTGTTTTGCAAACTTGTATAACATTAATTGCCTGTTTCTGACATAAGATAAATGTAGCTATTATTAATTACATTTAGTATGGATCCATTTATTGCAAGAATTGCATTGTATTGTTTTGTAATTACTTAACACAGATTAATGACAAATGCCACAAGGTAAACTTGACATCCTCTATATTATTGGGTCATTCCATATAAGATGAGCCAATTATTTGAAAATTTCCTAAGTGGCTATCTCAGATTTTTTTGAAATTTACACCTGTAGATTTTGTGGTAAAAGAATTTCTCAAAAATTTCAACTCATTATCTTAAAACATTCTAAAATTATGTCAATTTAAAAATTAATGTCTTATTTCGAGTTGTTTATTTTCTTTTTCATAAAAAGTCTTTTTTTTAAATCCATATAAATAAAAAACCAACTATCTTAAATACTTAAAAATCAATTTGATTGCAGTAATCTACCTCGACCCTTAAAGAAGAAAAAATAATTATTTTACAAAAGTAATCATTTTTGGCAATCTTGTACTTAAAAGTTATAAAAAAATATTTGAAGAAAAACTTCAATATTAATAAAGCAAATGAAATCAGAATACACAAGCAAATGTGAAAATTATGTTATTTTGTGAGAGTATAGGCGGTAGTCATCATTAATGATAAGTTTGGTAATATTGGATTCAAAACTATAGAAGTTACACCCTCCTAAAAAAGCCAATTTTGAAATTTTAAAGTTAGATCCATTTAAGAATTGAGAATTAACCAATAAATGTAACACTTGATGTGTCCAATAAATTTAACTCTTGAAATTTTTAAGAATGTATCTTCAAAATAAGAAGAATACAGAAAAGATACACAAAAAAAATTTAGGGATGTATTTTAGCTGCTGTGATAACTTAAACTTTCTATCAAAGTAGGATTTTGAAAATCATATCAGCCTTTTTGATTTTGTTAATATAGTCAATATCTTTATAATTGTTCATTTATTTTTTTTAAAACAAAAAAATTTAAAAAATAAATTTTAAAATAAAAATATCCGTACATAAAGGCTTATATTTTTACAATATATGAATAAATTTGAAAAAAAATAAAAATAAAAAATAAACTCAAAAAAAGCCAAGATATAAATCTCAATTACAATAAAAGAATGTAAAAAATAAAATTATAAATAATAAATCTTGTTTTTAAAATTATAGTCTAAATCTTTTTGTTAAACATTTCAAAATTTAATGACATTTTTTCAAATTCTTGCTCAGAAATTTGACTTGTTAATTGACATTGTGCAACCAAACT